TAGACTTTTGGTTTGCAATGAGAAGAGTCAGTGTTAATTCATTAACTTCGTCATGTTGCCGTATCATGTACAAATTTATGTATTTTACGATATAGACTTCAGTACAACTGCATTTTCCCTCAGTCTCCAATGACTTGTTGAAAATTTTTCATGCTTCTTTTCTGCAATTTTTCTCATCGCATCTTACTCGCGAAGGTCTTTTGTTGATTGTTAGATCACCTGCGCGTCAAACTATTACTTATTTCGTTTATTGGCCAATCTTTGCTGTTCCATATTTGGTACTCTGACAGTTCATAACTCACCTTTTTGTGTGGATTTCCCTACAACTTCAACGTAACCGAGAAGCCAGGTTAATTTGTACCACGCCTTTTGTTTACGATAGCTTCTTGTACGTGAAAGTGCCAAGTTGGATGTCCAAGACAAGGACGGCGACACTCCCCTCCATGAGTCTCTCAGACACCACACCCTGTCACAACTACGACAGCTACAGGATATGCAAGATGTCGGCAAGGTAACACGTGTAATTTTTCCTGCTACATGGAGGACCTCAAAGAATGCTTGTTCAAAACATCTGAACGCTCTTTCCAAAAGTTCTATCTTTTTTGAATTTCTTCAATTTATTTTTAGACAGGGTTCAACATTGCATAGCAGTCTTGTCTCATCTTGCCCATGAAACAGGCTGTTAAAGCATCTTCAGCAATCACCACGGTGCTTTTTTAGTATGGGAAGGTCAAAAAGGCTGATTTGAATTACTAACACAGTGATACTGGAGGTATATTCCTAAATATGGAAAAGGAAATTTAGATTTTTTTTTTGAGGTCAATTGCTCTTTTCTTGACTCTTTCCGGCGAGCACGAAGTTTGTGCGAAAGTTAACGAGAGCAAATTATTTACTAGCTTCTTAGGTTTTGTATGGAATGATTAGATCCATCGGTGGTATTTGGAAAATTTGCCGATTCGGAGCTGACCATTTGGCCTTTCGGGGGCAGTAGACGAGGAGGCGTTACTCTTAATAAATAGATATTCGACATGTACCACTGTATTTGTACATCGTGTGACGGAAGTAATGAAAAATTCTTTCTTTTCCATTTCTAGCTTCTTATGGGTTTGGGAACACAAGGTGCCGACAAAAAGAGCAGTGCATCAATTGCCCTCTTCCTGGCCGCTAATGGAGCCGATCTGAATGTAAAGAACAAAAAGGGACAAACTCCTCTGGATCTCTGTCCTGATCCTCATCTCTGCAAAGCTTTGGCTAAATGTCATAAAGAACGGTCCAGGTAAGAACGGAACCAAAATATGGAGCATGAGTGGTCTAACGAAACAAACACCTAAAGAATGGGAACTTGGTTTTTTGTTTGTTTTTTTTCAAGGGAACGAGTCATTTCAAAGTTTCATTTCATTCTTTTATCTATCATCATTTTTAACAGTAGCAATCAAAAGAACAATGCAAACGCTACCATACTGGCGGACGTCGATGAGAACGAAGGACTAGACGAATGTATGGTGTGTTCAGACATGAAGCGTGACATGCTGTTCGGGCCGTGTGGTCACGTGGCTACTTGTTCGCTGTGTTCTCCGCGTGTGAAGAAGTGTCTTATGTGTAAGGAGACTGTGCAGTCAAGAACTAAGGTATCTACAAACTTCGCTGTCTGGTTTGTCACGCTAGCGTTGCACTGAGAGAATGCCGTCGATGTCACGCAATGACGTGGCGCTACTTGTACGTGACTGAGAGAAAAATGGTGGTAATCAGGAATTGAAGATTGGGTTTGTTTTATTGGCTATGTGAATGGTCTACAAATCACGAGTCATCCTCTCGACCAATCAGATCCAACAGTGATACCTACTGCGTCTGAGAAACCCGCGTTTTCCCGCGCTTTAGGCAGTTTGCTTAGTTTTTTTCTACTTTAAGTTCTCATTTGCTATTCTTTGTGTATTCTGGTTGGCCGTGGTGATTACTTAGATTTGGTCTTACGACACTCAAGCGAAAAGCGTTTAAGACTTTCCCGTGCTCTTGTAATACTTTGTTACTTGCCGTGTCATTTTAGATCGAAGAGTGTCTCGTCTGTTCAGAAAAGGTTGCAAGAGCGCTGTTTAAACCCTGTGGACACATGGTGGCCTGTGAAAGTGAGTATTATTTTATTATTATTATTCATTATTATAATTTTTTTTTACATTGGAATGCTTATGTCTCTTCTTGTCGTTAAGGCTTAAAATGGTTATATATCGTATTTCCTTCTCTGTAGGGGCAATATTGTCCCGAGTCCTGCGCAGAAAGACTCTAGAAAGATTAATGTGCAATTAACCTTGCCGGTAACATTTTGTAAAACGTGTACCCCTGATGCTATTTTAGGGATCCTTTCATACGCCAAGTTTTTCACCCAGTGGACAAAAGACATACGTATTTGAAGCTGCTCTTTTTGATGTAATGTAATTGTTTCTTTAGATTGTGCTGTATTGATGAAGAAATGTGTGCAGTGCCGAAACCAAATCGAAGAGTCTATACCGTTCATTGTGTGCTGTGGTGGAAAAGGTTGGTACAGTTGTTCAGTTTGCTGTTCATCTTTGTAGAGTGTTGTGCAAAGTAAACCACCGCGTTCGATAATCCAGGGAGAACACGTTGGGTCAAACTGGTGATCTAAGCGTTGTGGTATCCATTGAAAATAGAAAGATAGAGACCCGTAAAACGTAAAATCAGAATTTACATGGGAGATGAATCTTGCTAAGGTCGTAATACTTGCGTGATTAGGATCACCTTCCAAGTAGCTAGAAAAGGCTGGTATGTCCGGTCAAAGGATACTACAAAAATTTAAAACTTAAGTTCTGTTTAGTGTCGGTCTCTGCTTTTAGATTCCTCAATGTCTTATCATGAAAATATTCTCCTTTTTATGTGTCCCTCGATCCTCCCATTCTTTTGACCATTTTTCCGCTTTCTCAATATTGACCATCTACTCTTCTTCTCTATAGGATAATCTTACAAATGTTCTTTTTTCTTAACTGTGTTCTTTTTTGTTTTGCTGTAGCCGCACCCGCGACACAAACAAAATCAAGTGGTAAACCTGAGATTAATCAACAAGAATTCACTCAATTGCAGCAACAACTCCAAGACATGAAAGAACAGGTGATTTGTAATTTTCTGCTTCGATTATCAGCCAATCACATAGATGAATATAACTTCGATCAGGCGCGTGATCTGACCCACGTGACTTTTCCCGCGCTTGGTACGGGTTGCGAATCAATCTCTCCTAGAAGCGCGATCCTTTTGGTCAGCAGCATTGGTCTCAAGGTTCTGATTCAAACCGTTAAAAGTTTGCGCAGACGCTTGTTTTCTTTTGTATTTGCATGCTGTCTGTTCTGCCAGTCATTCAGATGTTAGAAACATTTTGGTTTGTCCGGAGCTTCCGACATCTTTTGCGCAGAACATGGATAACGAAAGCTCCAGAAAAGAGATTGACTGCGTCTTGTTTGTTTCGCATATTTCTGGTAAATCTACGCATGTAAATTCTAATCGCTGCTTGTTTTTTAATTTATTTATCTATTTAATTATTTTTCTCCTAAGACGCTGTGTCCTGTTTGCATGGATCGAAAGAAAAACCTTATATTCTTATGTGGTCACGGCGCATGTCAACTTTGTGGAGACCGAATGCAAGAATGTCCAATGTGTCGAAAGACTGTGGAAAGAAGAATTCTTCTGTTTTGATAGCAAAACATTTTAAAGAAACTCTTAACGGATTTTTTTGGAAAAGCGAGCCTGACAATTTTCTGCGGGAGGAATACAGTATAGACGTGCTTGGACTTCAGAAAATTAGGAGCACAATGTTTATGCCATGGAAAAGGAAGTCACCGTCGTGAATCACGGCAACAAACAGGATCTTTATCTTTCGCTTTTTTCTTTGATTAGTCTCGCTTAAGCCTTAAGAATCTGAATATGTACGGAAATTAGAGATCATAAAAAAATATTGTAACTATTTGCAACGTAATAGCAGACACGATCAGTTTGCTCAAATGGCTGTTAAATGCGCTCGATAGACTACGGAGAAGCTATCGAGGAAGAGCAGTCGCAGCCGACTCAAGCGGTGAAAAAGGACCCCGAGCGTATTAAAAGAGTACAAACAATCAATTCAAAACCTAGCTGTTGAAGAAGCAGTGGTTCCGAAACGCAGGGGTTGTGACAATTTTTGAAACTTCACAAACGCTACTCTTTTCTCCCACGCTGCTTCAAATATTGCGTGCGCATTTGGGAGGCGGTGCACGATACCTAGTTTGATTTGATTGGGCCATGGGTTGTTATTTTTTCGTTGTGAACGATTGGTTTACTTACTGTATTTATTTACTTGTTTGGGGAAGAGGTTCGTCAAATTTTATTGCTGACTTACAACTTATTTTGTCTGCGTTGTGGAAGATCTGGGGAAAGGTTAACCAATTTTGGCACTGGGGTTAAAATTTGACAGCCCATCGACCTTGGCGCGAAAATGAAACCTAACCAAATAAATTCAAGGAAACGATATAGCGACGGGCTTACGTCTGGTTGCAAGCTCCTAAAGAAACGCGGCAATGACTTTTACAGCGGCAGAGGGGTAAGGAGAGGAAAACATTTTGAATCAAAGGAGGCGAACGACGGTCAAAAGAAGATTTATGGAAATAAAACTTACTCGCCTTTCCCAACCCTGAATCAAACTTTGGAACACTACCTCGCTCTAATAAGACGCTTGCACTGCATGCTAGGGGAGAGGGTATCCCCCCGAGCTCTGCTTTGGCATCTCGATATGCAGATTGATTTTCGAGCCAGAATCCCTTGCATCGAATCAGATCTACATCTAGAAGGAGTTGCTGGTTTCTTGACATATCGAAACCGGGTTAAGCTTCAGTGTAGAGTCACTTCCCCACCTATGTTTTTAAGTCGTGAATGCAGTTACGCAATGAACGATTTATCGCTGTCTGATGAAGTGGAGGAAAAATTGGTGTAAACTCCCTTTGTAATCTAGCAATTTTATATTAATTTCGGTTAGCAAGCGCATTCACGGTTCTGCACATGCGTTGTTACAATAGAGGTCCCTGACGTCATCTGAAAGCCTTGATGACAATAGCATCAAAAATAGGCAGACCCAACAAAATCCTATAAATGTTTATTATTTACACGCATAACGGTGAAGGTAAAAATAAAGATGTTCCACTCAATTGTAGAGCAAAATTAAGGTTCGCTTCAAATGACAAGGCGCCATATTTACACCAAGTAAAACCTTATCATCAGAACAAGTGGAATCAACAGTTCGAAGAAAGGATTTTGAGAAATATTTTCTGTCAAAGCGTTCCAATTGCCATCACATTTTGTTCCCAAAATAAAGTAAATCACTTGTAAAAGGACAGTTCAACCGCCCAAAAGTTAAAAGAACTACTCTCGAATTGAATGTATATCTCAAAAATATATATTATGTCACAAATGTAAAAGTACAAACGGAGCGGTCTTCGATTGTCTGCCTTCTTGGATTGTTTGTCTTCCTGAAAAGTCTTTGCGACGGCTGCTTTTTTTCAAAAATTTAGGACACTTAAATTAGAGAATTAATCTCTATCGTTGTAACTCTTCTAGAGCGAAACATTGCATTGCAATCGGAAAATTACTTCCATGAGTGAAGTATCCCACGATGAGGTGATTCGTCTAGCATGAGTATCACAAATTTTGAAGAGTTCATTAATCTGGAAATGAAAAGGAAAATAATGTGAAAGTTACGGTGCTAACTAAAATCAGAACCAGCCGAATAAGCCATTGAATTTCTTTAGAAAGCTACCTTGTTACACGGGAGTTACCGGTAAGACCAACCGCTCTGATGGAAAAATTTGGCAAACTTGATGCATAAATTAGACCTGTTTGCTTTGGGCAAAATGGTCAAATCACAGTGAGGGACAGAAAGGAGGAAATCTGTTGGTCCGAAATAAATGTTCCAGTCTTTAATTTCCCACAAAAAAGCAAACAAACAGACAAACAGAAACTTATTGATATGAGACAACACGTACCTGATTCATTTGACTCTACAACTGGCGAGAAGGACATCAGGTTATCCACAGCCCCGGCCACAGAGGTCGACACGGAAGCAAAGAAGACGGAGTCTCGTCTCTTCTCACTCTTACCTGGAGAGTCAAGACTAAACACAGCCAACTGACCGCATGGCGTCACGGCGCGTGAGCCTTCTTTTCCAGCCCCTGCGGCCAGCGTAACGAGCGGCGAACCATCATTATTGGCAGGAAATCGTCGCACCACGTGTTCCGGCGACATCATCCCTAAGCTGTCTCCAAGTGCAGGAGTCTTGCTGTTCTTAGAGGGAGATACATATATCGTGGTCTTCGGCATGGGAGTAATTTGGCGGGAGTTTGGAGATGGTGTGTCCATGTCTGAGAGATACCTGAGGATGTGTATGGGTGTCCTGCCTGTCTTGGGTTCACTTTTAGTGATTGAAGGCTTGAGAAAGGTGCCGGGTTCGTCTGGCGGAGTGATGTTGACATCTGCGCCGACAGCGGTGCCTTCCAATTTGGGGTCCTTGTTATCAAACACGATCTCTAAAAAACAACATATACAAAATAAACCAAGTAGGAAGCTTATTTTGCAGACTGAGACTTAATTACAATACAGTTTTACTTTTAGCCTCAGAACATTGACAGTGACTGCTGCCCGTTCTTGCTTCCCTCCGTTCGTGCTTTCGTTCCTTCTACAACTGGAAGTGTAATTTATCTTACAATCTTATTGGTCGACAATCAACCAATGGCCTCCAACTTACCATCCACAGGCACTGAGTCCACAGGTTTCTTCTCGCAGTCTTCTTCATCCGACGAGGAAGGGCACAGATATCTACAGAATGCATCTGGTTCTTGACCCTTTGGATCGAGATCACATGTTTTAGACTTTACCATAACCCTTCTCTATTAAGTGGCTAAAGTGAAGGTTGTGTACACAAAAAGAGAAAGAGGCTGTAATAGCAAAAAAACGATAACTTTCCAACTCCATAATACTGTTTATTAAATTGCAGCAATATTGGTAGGTTGAAAACTTAACAAAAAACACAAACTGGCTTTAAATACGAGCGATATGAAACGTGCGGGAAGGTGTAGCTGACGAAGAAAAACGCTAACAAACTTAACAAAAAACACAAACGAGGTATGAAAAAGAGTACAGAACGAAATAAATAAATACAAATCACACGAAAATAATTGGCAAGCGCTTAGATCTTATAGGAGCAAGGAAATCATCAGTAAACTAGCTAAAACGTTAATTATAAGGAATGCGCTCTTGATACAAACCTGACGCATACTATTCTGCCGAAAGTTAAAAAACCTTCGTTTACAGAATGGCCTCCGCACAGTGAAAATGTACTCTCCTGTTTCTAGCCAGTCTTGTTGTTTTTTTTTTTTCACGAAGATCTAAGTTCTCTATTTGAATAGTAATGAATCATAATTTCCGGCCAACTCACATTTTTGGGCAAGTCACATGTAGAAGGCTCCTCCGTTGCTTGGAACAGTTTCACGGAAATTTGTTCCGGAGTCTGCTCAGAAATGGAGAAAACAGGAAACATGTAAGGATTCTAAAATATCATCACTTAAAAGGTAAGGAAATAAAAAGCAAATTCTGTTCGACGGAATTACGACTCTTTTTTCAGATTAATTAATCCTTGCGATAATTGACACAAATTAGCCTTAGCATGAACTCACCATGAAGTCGCTCAATAGGAATACGCAGTGAAAGTAATCTAAATTTTTTTGTCGAATTATGTGAAGCTAGTGGATTCCTCCTGAAGGATATCCTGTTATACTTATGGTTCCAGTTGATTAACTGTTTACACCCTTCAGCAATGCTTGCCTTTTCCACCACATACCCGTGTTACTGCTTTTAGAGCGCATTTTGGCTGCGTGTCGTTTAATAAAAGACAATTTAATCACACCACACACCTGCATACAGCCAGGTGACGATTGTAAGTAGTTCTGAATCTAATTGGTTGAAAGGATGGCGCCAGTTTTGTTGGACCAATCATATGACAAAGTAAAGCAAAAACAAAGCTATCCCAGATCAAATTTGATACCCGATCGAAAATTGCTGATATATAAAACTTAAAGCCTTACCTTTCCTACAGCTTCGGCCTCTAAAGGCGCCGAATCTCGGTATTTAGAGGGCGTCCTTCGCAATGACCTTCTCAATCCCGACCCAGGGCACTGCTCTTTAGGTTTGGCTTCGGCGTCAGATTCTGATGAGCTACATTCTGCACTTTCTGTCCCGTGTGTAACATTCTCGTCGACAGTAGAAACTCTTCGTCGAGGCCTCTGCTGGTAATAGGGTGTTCCTGAGCGACTGCGGCATTTACGCGCCGAGAAACAGCGCGGAGTTGACCTCTTGGCTTTGCTCTCGACTGGGTCTGGATTATCTTCAACAGCGGTCTCTGTCGGAGTACTACCTCCTTCGTGAGCTGCATATGCAGGCGTGCTTTCTTGACCAGGCGATTGAAAGGTGACTTTTCCCAAAGCCTTTCGAGGTTTGTCCTCTGTAGTCTTACGAGCAGATTTCAAAACTTCTAGTTTCACTTGTTCGAGTTCGCAATGAATTTTACCTTCTTCTTGTTTGCTTTCCATTTCACACACGTCTTCCTGGTTTGGTTCTTCAAGTTTCATTCTACTTCCTGTAACAACCATTTCGCTGACTTGAATGCCATTGTCTGGAGTAAGTCTTAGCCCTGGACTGTCTTCACTGATAATCATAGGTGTGGTCACTATCACGGGTGTGCTGTTACCAGCCATAACACGTAACTGTGGCGTCTTACGAATGGATCGGCGCACTGGTGTCAATACTACCTCCTCGCTTCCATCTGCAACACATTTGAATAGGGTCAAGACACAAAAAATTTAAAGTGCACGCCAAACAATAAGACATTTGTCAATTTAAATTGCCAGTGAAGTATTCTTTTGGTCATCAACTATCATGGTTGAAACTGGATAGTGGGCGCGCTTAACTCTGGCCGGTGCGTTGTGTTCTTGGGTAAGACAATCATTCTCAACGGTGGCTCCCCTTCCCTCAAACACTCATTCTCAAGCTTGTCCCTAAGGGATTTCCAGTCAGGTGTCAGGGTAAGGACCAGGACCCTCTCTCTTTTCTTCTTGAAGGACGAAAGAAGACCCTGGGAAAGAAGCTAACGTATGCTTAGAAGGAGGAGTGACTTAGAAAACGCAAGGGTTTTAAACCAATCGGAGACCAGTATCCCATCTGGCGTTTAGCGCTTTTCTGGGTTGTTCGCATGAAGTTGAAACCAGGATAAGTTTGGACTTAGGTCACCTGACGTGTGCAAGGTTGAATCCATTTGCAAAGTTACAAAACGTAAATGAGATTTCTTCCCAAATCTTGTTTTTTTTTTTGCATTTGTTATACTGTTGGTAAATTTACTTTGAAGAAGATATTTGTCTTCGTCAAGCAACTTACCGTTTTTCTTACACTTTTTCACAGGTGTTAGAATAGTAACGAAAGCCTCTTCCTGAGATTGGATGAAAATAAAAGCAAAGCTGACAATTTGACAAGCAGAATGAGACCGAAAAAAAAATGCGACTTCAAATACAGCCGTTTTGCATGGAATTGACTGAAATAAGGATTCATTATGTTGCTGTTTGCCATCAGACGCAACCTCAATCAATTTTCTCCCTCAGACTTTCCATCTCAGTCTGTAACAGGAGTTGGTTACTTTCTTTGGTGCAGTTCATCTGAGAAAATGCTTCTCGTCATCCACTTTAGACAAGTACGCACACGCGTGGGAATCCGTCGCGTTTCTCGCGCTTGGAACCTCTGTTTGTTGTTCCCTAATGATAGCCACATATATGCAGCAACACAAAGAAAACAATTAAAACACTTACCTGATGATGTCTTTTTTCGGCTCTCAACTTCTCTTTTTCTTCAGCCATCTTTGCCTTCATTGCCAATCTCATTTCTTGAATTCTGTTTCTTGCAGCAGCCGCTTTGTTGTTAGGTTTAGCATCAGCATTTTCGGATGGTTTCTATGGTACCAAATCAAAATTAATGTCACCCGAAAACATAATTCCAATGAGCAAATACTTTATTAATCCCTAGAGATGATAAGCATCTTATTCCTCTAAACAGTATAACTATCATCCCTGAATCACACAATTAGGTCAAAAGAATAAAGGGAATGGTTACCAACCCAAGAAGCTCTTGATGGTAAGACAAATTCTCCTTGCAAATACCAAAGGAAAATAGAGAGAACAGAGTGGAGAACTTCCATACTGAATTCTGATGTTAGAGGTCACCCTAACTGGCCTGTAAGTGCAGTTAGTATGGGTAATGTAAATAAACACAAGGAAATTTTCGAAGACAACAAAATTGCATACCCATGGGGGAGTGCAATTTGTAGTCTTTGTAAAATTTACTTGTGCTTATTTACACCAAATTGTGCCTGAAATCATGGAATTACTTATGAATAATTTACCTGGAAAAACATCACAGGAAGTCAAGACAGACAGAATTTTGACACCTCACAAGCTATTTTTGTGATTTGCACTCATGTTTACAACTTTGCCCTGGTGTTCCACAAAAAATGCACTATTTTTCATCCAATCAGGAGCACATATTTTTTTCATGTGCACAATTATGCACGTAAAGAGTGCCTACAACTAGGACATCAAATATCAAACATTGCACCACCTTTATACAACAATTCTTTACAAGTAAATGACCCTTATAGCACAGGAAAACTTAAATTTTCATACATGCTACCTGGGTATAAAAATCTACCTTTGCTTTAGTCTTCTTCAAGGATTTCTTTGTCTTCTTTTCTTCTTCTTTCCAGTTGTTTTCCTTTAACTTCTCCAGTGCATCAAACTTAGCATTCACATCTTCAACCTGAAAGGTTAACAAGGAAGCAGAAAAACATCAAATATGTTCTCTCACAAACGGTATTTAGAAATGAAAAGTTAATTCAGATTCATTTCTCTACCTGAAAATAAATCATTTCCCAGAAACCTTGAAGGTCAGAGGCAGTGGCTTGCTTTTCTGCATTTTTGTCCTACACAAAAACAAAAGTTTGGCATTTAAACTTAACTTTTTACGAGCTAGAAGAAATTACATGTAGTACCTACTTTGTACATACATAAGTTTAACATGTGTCGTGAATGATGAAGTGGGGTTTGTAAATCCAACCCTAACCCTAAATCACAATAATGGCATCTGCATTGAAGGCAGGCACATCCAGTGTGTATAAGGGGAACAAATGCTGTCAAAATTTCCCTTGAACACTTCACTGTAGGAGACAGGTGTAAGACGTGTTTTAAAAATGAAAAAGTTCCTACAGCACAACCCTTGAGTTCAAATAAGGTTTAATTTAGAGAAAGATGTTTTTATCTTATCACAAGCATGGGACAAAGAAAAAATTCTGAGTTTCCATGAGGAATCCAACCTCACACCTTCAGATTCCATGCCTCGATGCTCTACCATTGAGCCACAAAGACAAAAAAATTAATTTGTGGCAAGTCTTAACCCTTTAACTCCCAGAAAAGCTTAACATGTAACTTCTCCCTACAAAATCCACACATTATCCAGAAAACAGGCAATAAGAATACTCAAACTAATCAAGTTAAAGTTTCTATCTTGATCTAACTCCAAACTCTCATCACTAATTTACAAGGAAATGTGTAGCAGCTGGAGGGGAGAATAACAATCAGATCATGGGAGTTAAAGAGTAGAGGAACCTTGTTCTGATACAGTGCAAATGAGGGGGTATAAACTAATAAACTTACCTCACTCAGATCTATGAGGCCTGAAAACTGATGGAACCTCTGATCAATTAACAGCTGGGCTTGGCCAATTACTGTCCTTATTTGCCCAGTCACTGAAGAAAATGAAAAAGCTTGATCTAAAATGCAACCTTTTTTCCAGTTATTTAAGATATTTTAAGACATAACAGCCATTTTGTCTCATTCCCATGAAGCATGAATAAATGGTGTAGATATTTACATCCCTTTTTCTAAGCATTAAGATACATTTTTTTTGTGACAGTTTATTTACCAAACGTTTTATACCACCATTAAATACATGCAAATGTAAGTAAATCAAGGAATGTTCATTGAACTTATTTTCAGAGAATCACCAACTGGTTTTGAAATAAACCTTAGAGACTGTAAAACATTCTAAGCCATACCTTCCTCACTGAGGCTTTGTTCATCAGCATTAATCCTCTCCCATTTTGCACAGATTTCATTCAACCTGTCAGTCTCCTTTGCTACAAGATTCCTAAAGTATGCTGCATCATGTTGTGTGTCAAGATCGCTGCCATCATCTGTTTCTTCAACTAATGAAGACTGTCCTTGGCTGGATGAAATTTTGGCATCTGTTGGACAAGATGCTGTGTCCTTTTTCTCATCTACATTACTACCTGTACCTTCTTGACTTCCAGATCCCTCACATTTCTCCGTTTCATAATCAGCCATCTGTTGTTCAGTATTCTCTTTTTCATCTAGTGTACTATTCATATGACAAAGTGCCACAGGGTCTTCCCAAGCTTTGCTCTCTGTCTGCATTTCTTCAGTAGATTTCTCCTTGTTGGGACTAAAAAAAGAAGACGCTGATGTTGGAAATATAAATTCCGCAGCAGTCTTTGGGCTAAGTGGCTGAAACGTGAATGTTTTTGATAAGTATGTGAAGGTGTTGATGCCACTTGGAGCAGTGAACTGAAAATCTTTGGGAGCAAGAGATGGTGGCCCCAAATCTGGTCCTGGCTTTTTTGCATCCCTCTCCACACCTTCCGAGCTACCTCTACCAAATGAAACAGTATTCTTTATGTTCTCCAGAGCTGGTAAATCAATTTTTGTAAACTCCTGAGTTGTTTCTTCAAGTGGAACTTGTTGGGTATCCTTAACACTTCTCGTTGATTTTTCTTGAAGTTTTTTGGCTTGAGATCTTGTTTTCACTTGGTTTTTTGGCTCTCCTGTGCCAGAAATGAAATAAAATAAATTTATATCATTTGTAAAAGAAAAATGGATCTTTTTTTCAGGTGATTCCAAGGGTAAGAAATTCAAAATCAATTCTACATTTACTTACCTTTCTTGCTGGACTGAGAGACTGCAACATTTTTGCCAGTTGAAGATGATTTCATTTGAACACTTTGCCTTGTGACCCTGCCAGTCTTGTCGGAGCTAAATTTAGCCTGATACAAGTACAACCACAGGAGGAATACAGTATATTACTAGTGAAAGCTTGATCACAAAAAAATGTTCAAATTTCACACACATACAAAGAGTGAAACAGTTAACATTGATGGTCTTCTGCCAACTGAATTGTCAGTCAGCAGAAGTTGATCTCACCCATTTTTTCAGACCCTATGAATATCACGCAACATGTAATCCTCTGTATACAAACAATCATGCACATGGAGTTCAAAACCAACTCTTGGAACAAATTTACCTAGACTACCACATATGAGTTTAGACAAGAATCTACTCACTCAGTACTTTTTTTTCTGTAACCCCTCATTAAGCCTGAAATCTCTAGTCTCAAAAAACAAGGGCGCTAAGGTCTTAAGTTTGTGGCCTGTGGCACCTACATCATGTAGCTTCTGTTAAATTCCAGCCCTGTGCCACATGAATATTCAAAACAAAACTATACCATGCAGTAGAATAGAGGGGTAAGTTTCTTAAGAAACTGTGGTGCTACGTCAGTGGGAGGGTATAGAAAGGTAATTTGGCATTATCAACTAAGTTGATAATGTAAATTGGCCATTACAAAGAAATTCAAAGCTGATGTTTTGGGTGTTAGCCCTTTGTCAGAGTGAATGGAGGAATGAGGATTGTGTGTGTGTGCTCTATTCAGTCTGACAAAGGGCTTGCACTCAAACTGTCAGCTTTGAAACTCTTTACGGTGACCAATTTACATTATCAACTCAGTTGATAAAGCCAAATTACCCTGTTACATCTTATGCAGTAACTAACCTTCTCCTTTAGCTTATCATTATTTGCATCTTTAGATTTGGGATCCACCTTCATATTACTTTTGTAATTAGCTGCTTTACTTGACTCCTTTTTGGCAATCCTAGCTGATGCCCTAGGGACCTGTTTGTCGGATTTGTTTGCAGCAGGCTTGGAGTCAGGTTTAACTGGTTGAGTAACCCCTCTGTTCACTTTCTTCCCAGAACTGATGGAATAAAGAGTAGCATCTTCTTGGTGTTTGACGTGACGCACAACAAAAGATTTCCTTTTCTGTGATTCAGAAGCTTTCTTTTGTTTTCGCTCCTCTTGCCACTTGATTAGCTGCTCTCTTCTGCTAAGCTGTGGTTTTGAAGTTTCATCTTGAAGCTCATCAACTTAAAGAGGAAAATTATATGTTGCAACTAATGCCTCAATTACAGAGGGTGACCTTAAACTCCCATGCGTGACTTGGGCAGAATTTCACGTTACAACATCTATACATCATCAAGAAGATGTGATGTGAATGAAGAAAAAAAGCAATAAGGGGATTATTAGTTGATCAAAAACCAAATTCTTCAAACTAACATCATAAGAATTGTATAGTAGACAGTAGGGAGAATCACTAATGTGGGTAAATTTGTAAGGGGTGGAGTTTAATTTCAGTTGGTTTCGTGTGTGTATTTTGATAGATGTAATCTATCACACATCCTTGAAATTTTCAATGGTCTCCTCGCATCATTTCCAACTGGACTGATTGAAAGATTGATAGGCAACAGGATTGCTATCATTAAATTTTAAAATATCAACTACTTTACCAGTTACTATGATGAACTTCAGCAAATATTTCTTCTGTGTGATATCAATAATCTCAGTTGTGAGCTCATTCAAATTCCACAACAATTATATGTTTACCGTTTTCTCCCGCTTTCGTACACTTGTCAACCACGTTTTCATCAGCCAGTGGAGATAGAGGCATTCTCCTTCGTTTGGAGATTGCATCCATCCTGGAGAGGTGACGTTTTTCACTTGCACGCTGAGCTCGAAAATTACGATCTGAAGCTCTGACTTTTCCGCGAGCCTTGTACGAAGATACATGATCGTATGTAAATTTCTTCCTGGCTATATCTTCCATAGTCCGACTAACTTAAAATAGAACTAGTTATTTTACAAATATGACAAGAGATCAATAGCTTTCTTGGCAAATAAACGATAATTTCTGCTTTAAACTCGTAAAAAATGACTAGACGGCATACGAATGATAGATCACCTAGTTCGAAATTCGTTCCAACGTTTCACTTCTTCAGTTTTGAACTCCCATTCGTCAATTTCACAAATATTGACCAATCACATTGACGATTTGATATCACGTGAAAGTACCATGTGCTAACAGCTCAAGCCCTCTCGAGGTTGAGGTTAATCTACCATGAGATCGAGGTTATAATTGAAATTAGAGACAAAGCATTCATGTTTGTGGACGAGAGTTTCAAATCTTCTCCATTCTTTACCACGATGGGAGCTGCTCGAATAAAGCTGTCTCCTATCGGAATAGTTGTTCTAGGACTTGTTTTCGTCGCAATAATCTATTACTTATCCACAGATGGCGGAAGTGGGGAGTTCTCTCAGAGGTACTTTGAGGGCGAAGACACAGTATCGATGGAGAGACTGATCAGAACTGCAATTTATCTTGCCGAGAAAGGGGGGAATATCGTTCGGAAAATCCGCAAAGGCGAAGATTTAGGGGTAAGCATAAGAGCAGACATATCCTTGATATCTTTGAGTCTCTTAAAGCAACAAACTCTATACCCATACAGCAATCAATTACCACTTACAGGTGTGAATGTTTAGAAAGATTATTTGTTTTAGATAAGTTAGCCGCAAGGCTCAATTTTAATGATCGTAAAAAAGCTGACTAACACATTCACGTGCACAGATATCCCTGTTCTCTTTTAGTGTCATTTCTGGATGTTAAGAATTATTAGTAACATCGAAAATTGTTTAAACAAATGTGAGTAGTCCGAAATTTTAATAAAATATGCATAAATGTGATGTGGCATTTACAGTGAGTTTCTGACAACTGACAACGTGGAGGTATTGGTAATTTACATGTATACTTCGAGTTTGTGAGCTTACGAGCGACAGCAATTGCAATTCATTATACCGAAGTTAATTTAAAGTAGTTATTTTAGACTGTATTGAACATGAATTACTTCTACGAACTGATTTTCTCCACCGGCAATATCGGAAGGATAAAATTTTAACTACATTCGGTATAATTTTTAAAAATTATTATAAGCCTAGTTTAGTGGTAAAAATTTTCATGTGCTCAAACGTATTAAGCCTTAATTCTTTAGTTGAGCACATAAAAAGATCAGTTTTTGAATGAATTTGGTTGGACCTGCACTTAATTGCAATAACGTTGTAATAATATTATAAAAGCAAATTAAAAAGCCAAAAAGGAAATATTTAATTATACTTGCTTATGATTAAAACTGCTCTGGCCTTATGCCTGCTAGCGGAACAATTTTTCAGAGAATTTCTATGAAAAAAAAGTTGTTTCAAACTTCTTGAGAGAATCAGATGTTTGATAATTTCAAGCGATTCCAAAAATTAAAAAATTAATAATAATTACATGTTAATTCTGTAAACTATATGCTAATAAATTCAAATTTGGCTCTATTTTTTCCTCTTTTGATGAGTTAGTGCAACTAGGTGTGTCTAATTTGGGTTTGTCTTAGCTATTTACACATGGGAAGTTTGGCACTCAAACATCTGCCATTCAAATATCAAACTTTTTTTTTTTGCCAGACACGAAACATGAAATTAGAGTAATTTGATTTTGCATTCCACAATTTTGTTCTCACTCTAAAGGACGAGTCGGACAAATTATGTTATTTGTCTGAAGTAGGCATCAAACTTAATTATTTTGGGTTGACTCAAGTAGATATCTGAGCTCAATACTTGGAAAGGTTAAGGTTGAGCTATCCCAGGTCTCAGAAAACTTTAAGGATCAGTTATTTAAAGAAAGTTTAGCTGTTGTTTGACAAAACTGTGTCCTAAACAATCCTCAATTTAGCTGAATCTTTCATATGAACATTTATTTTTGTGAACAGTGTTAAAAGGGCCAAAGAATAAATTTTGGAAGGACATTAACTTAATTAAATTAACCCCTCATAAAGAAAGCCTGAGGCCCACTGATTCCATGAAGCCATGCTTTGGGTTAGAAATTGTGTAAATAACCAGCCTTAAAAGTTTCCTAATACAATCTATTGATTCAGAGCTGTCAATAGGAGCAGGAAGCCGGCCAAAACTGCTGGATAGTCTTGCCATCTTGAGTGCTGCTAAAAATTCAAACAATTATTGGTACCTCTCTTTTGAAATTTTTCTATTTGTGGTTGATCCTTTTCCCTTGATTTACAGGAAGAAAGCAAGGGAAAGACTCTTGAAGGAGCCAACAATCCAGTAACACAGGGAGACATGTTGTCTCATAGAGCCATGTATTATGGCTTTAAAAAAGAATTTCCTAGGTTAAATGTGGTGTCTGAAGAACATGACCACGGTGAAGTTGATTTAAAAGATGTTAAAGCTCCTGATATCTCTACAATTAAGCTTGACGGCAAACTCTATAACAAGGAGGATGAGGTTGTATCTGCTGGTAGCCTTCTTGTATGGATAGACCCGCTAGATGCCACGCAAGAATATACAGAAAATCTTGTTCACTATGTAACTACGATGATTTGTATTGTTGTCAATGGAAAACCTGTGGCAGGAATAATTCATAAACCTTTTCTTCAGGAGACATATTGGGCTTGGGTTGGCCATGGATCCTCAGGTAATATAAATGTGCCACCTGAAAAAGATTCTGCATTGCAAATGCCAAAGGTCATTGTTTCAAGGTCTCACGCCGGTAAAGTCAATGCTACTGTTCGGTCAGCATTTGGTCCACAATCCATGGTGATACCAGCTGGAGGAGCAGGGTATAAGGTGTTGTCACTCTTTGAAGATAAAGCCAATTGTTATGTTCATGTTACGCTAATCAAAAAATGGGACATCTGCTCTGGGGATGCCTTGTTGAGAACACTTGGAGGAAAGATGACTACATTAGATAATGAAGAAATTAATTATGGTGATGGTTTTAAACCAGCTAACGAGAAAGGACTTGTCGCTGCATTACATAATCATGCTGAGTATCAAGAGAAGCTTGCACACAAGTTAAAGTCATAGAAATGGAACAATACATTAGTTCAAAGTTGTTTATAATTTATTGCCTCTTATACCTGTGTGCAAAAAAAAGAAAAAAGACATGTATTTTGAAATTCAATGCATGCATAATTCCAAGAGGCACCTAAATTAGTTGACAGCATCCTGTCAGGAAATCATTTGAAGAGGAAAATCTTCAATGCTTGGGGTTTTTACATGTATGTTGTGGAGCAACATAAAAAAAGGGAAAAAATGGTTTACATTAGATTCTTTAGCATCAATGTAAATTGTTTGAAATTTTTGGGAAAAAACCTGCATCATACTTTTTTATCTGCAGTACATTTAGTCATACTATGCAAATTTTATCTCTGCTGCGAGTGAAACAAATCTGTGGCAGGGATGTCACTTTTGTACACAAAGCATTTTCAAAATACAAGCTTTACTTGTTATTTAAGTGGTATTTAACATTGTATTCAAAGTACAATTATGAGACATGACTCATAAACGTCCAGAACATGTAACTTCTCCCTATAATTTTCACATATCATACAGCTAACAGGTAATGAGAAAACTCAAACTTGTCTGGTAGAAGTCATTATCTTGATCTAACACCAAAATTCTCATAACTAATTAACAAGGAAATGTGTAGCACCTAGAGGGGAGAAATAGCAATCAGATTTTGGGAGTTAAAGGGTTAATGCCTAAACTTTTATTACAATCACACTTTGGCTTTTGTAGTAGTAATATTTAAGTTGTATTTCTGGTGAGGGTCACATGACCTCTATGAAGCAATCATAACTCATTTTTTGAGAAAAAGGGGAATCACATAAATTACAAGTAACTCTATCCCAAATGCTTTTACTCATTCATGTTTTAATTAGGTATTTAATTAGTCTTGCAAAAACTGAGCAGACTGAAGTAATATATATTTGGGATAATAACAAATACATTAAAATTTTATACATGTAATATACCAAAGACGCTGTGCCAGTTACTTTAAAACACTCCATCACAGGCCCTTCACCTCTAGCTCTCAAATAAATCACAGATACAATCAAACATGACACTCTTATTCCCACAGTGATGGTCTTCATATTTGCCAGAGGCCACAACATACAACTTACATTTATGGAAGTCCTCAGAATTATCAGAAGTCCATAAATTGTGAACCCTTCACACATACATGTGTAGTTACTACTATGAATATTTTCTTAACTGTGAAAAATGACTTACTGTCTTGTAATGGAGCATACCTGTCATACATAGGGAAAAAATTGAGGCCCTGCTTGGGATTTCATGGGTTCAAATCCCATACAGGCCTGAATTTTTTTAAGCCCTTATTTTCACCACTGCATAATTAGTGTGTTCATTACTGTGAAAGATTGCTTTCAAATTTAATTCTTAATCTGCACTTCACTTATATGGTTTTATATGTATTCAAAGTTGTCAATGGGGAAAATCTTTGCATACAACTCTCTTGATCATCAAATTAGATTTTACTCTTGGGTACGTTTTGTTTTTAAAGATTATTCTTTCTGTTTTTTTTTTAATTGAAAAGACCTTTGAGTTAATGACCCTTCATTACAGCATTTTGCAAACCTGTTTCAGGAATGAGTTAGATCCATATTTCCATAACTGTGAATTTTGTTTCTTTTTTTGAGTCTAACAACCCACGTTCATGCTTGAAAGTGATGCATCTTTTTTTCTAAAGATGGTAGTGTTGTAAACTTTATGTGAAGTAACACAAAACATATTTTTACCATGTTGCTCTTGGGAAAGTTTAAGAAAGATTTTGTTCAAAAGACACTATTAGGTGCAAATGTTTATCAAAATCTATCTTCTGATCTTAACAATAAGTAACCTGAGCATACACCACTTTGTATATCTGACTGTCAAGTGAAGGTTTCCAAATTGGCAACTGATGTTGAATATTTAGTCAAATGAAGCTCAAACTGTGCACAAACAGCTCATTATCACAACAGCCCATGTAGTAAGAATGCTGGCTTTGTCATTGTGCAGAGATCTTTATATTTTTAATTGGGTACTTGACCTACCGGTAACCCTTCCTCAATGCTTTCAAATTCCCCACAATGACTAGGATCATGTCCTTCATTGAACACATTTTACAATCTTCCATGAATACACACAAAATGGTAGAAAGTCACCTATTTGGGAGTAAGCTGGCTTTTCCCAAATGAACAACTAACACTACAGGTTAGGCAAGTTATAATGGTAATAAAACCAAGTGGAGTCCAGTTCCGTCGGTAATCATACGAGTGATTAACAAAATTGGACGACTACAAAGTACGAGTCTGATTTGTCAAACACTTTTATAATTACTGACAGAATTGGACAACACCAAGTCCTGTTACCAATTAATCAAAACAATGACAAAAGTTAAGAAACTGCACGATGCACACTTACACAATCATGACTCGCTAAGTGTCACTTTAACTGTCCTATTACAGTACAGTACACTGTCCAACTACAAGCATGATGCATGCACTGTCCTGTTAGTGCTTAAATCAGGTTGGTGATAACCACTCATGTTTGGGAATTTTGTTATAGTTTTGATCCATTGCTTTATCTTTAAGGTGTCTTCAAAAGTGTTGCTCCAAAAGATTATGCCAATATTAGTGACAAACAATGGACATTCTATGGATGTTTGATTTTTTTGCAAGGAAGAATGGGACCTGACCACATCCTTATATACATTTACTCAAGAAATACCAACAGCAGGAACACAGCTATTGTTAAGGTAATTTGGTTTCATCAACTGGGCTGATGATGTATTTTAGCTACAATTGAGAGCTTCTAAAGACCTTCATCAGAGCAAAAGGAAATCATCTGTAGAAACTCTCTGCTGTGTTCAATTTACATCAACAACCCAGTTGGTTAACCAAATTATGTTGTAACATGCTACCAACACAGCACCACAGTTCCTCTAGAAAGTTACCCCATTTATTAATTTGAGGTAGGCACTTGTTTAAAGAGATTTTGTTTGCCCAAGGTAAAATAATTTTAACAGATTTCACTTATTTTTCAAACCCTAAAAGGGGATTTGGACTTAAGATGCCTTGTATATGCACAGGATCCCCACTGTCTGCTGAAAATTGTTAGATGCACTACTACTGAAGATCTGACATGACCTTTGAAATTTTTTATTTTAAATCACAAGAAATTTTTATGAATTTGCAGCTTCTGTCCAGTTTGGCCAGTAAGCATCTTCCAAATAAGACTGGCCGCCTTTGCCTTTAATGTCCTTTTCCCACTGAACCTCACACTTCCTATACAACAGCATAGCAGCTCTAGCATCTTCCACGGAACAATGTTCGTTCACCTGAATGTCCCACTTCAACAACTGTCTGGTAAGTCGTTTTAAAGATGGCGTAGAATTTCGCGGAAAACCGGCCAAGGCTCGTAACGGTATGTGCTTTGAAGTGTCTCTGACAAGATCCGAAGGATGTTTAAGCTTTAGAACTTTCAGATCGAACTGTAACGCATGTCCCACGAGTTTACGCTTCTTTATTAATCTTTTGACTCTTTTCCTTGCCAATCGGAAGGAGATCGCATTGTCCATGTCTTTGGGTCGTATTCCGCTCCACTGTGTTCTATAGTCTGTAATAGGTTTATCAGGTTTGACATGAACGTCGTAAAGAACGTCACCGTCGTAGTTAACAACGCTACACCGAGCTAAAGCACTCGTCTTCTCGCCACCAACGCCAACCATCTCACAGTCTAAGGCAACAGGACTTAACATTTTCGACTTTTTCCAATCACTGTGTACTGTATCAGAACTAGCAAATTTTCGATTTTTCTCGCAGTTTGAGTCGCTTGTATCTGACACTTCCATACCAAAAGCTCCTCGTGCCATGATGAATCGTGAAACGGTAAGAAGTGGCAAATATGAGCCAACTGTTATGTCGCCACGTGGTGCAACACAGTCGCCATCTTTTTGATTGCGTAACCGGAAAGACTGGTTTCTAGTTTAGGATATTTATAGTATACAGTCCGCAGTGCATGCTAGTTAATTTTCTCTTCGGGGAAAGGCTTTGGACAAAGCACTGAAAAGAGAGGAAAGAAAACCTTTGGAATCTTACATAAAATATGTGTTTTAAGCATTGCAATGATGAAGAAACTGCTCTATCTCACAGATTTATCAGTCTTCATGTCACAAGTCGTCCAGTTGCACAAGAGATTCAAAAAGTGCCCACGCTCCAATAAGCTCCCTCCCACCCCCTAAACCATAATATGCCAAACAAGCGCCCCTCTCGAGTAAGCACCTCCACTCCTCCCTCATTTTTTTAAATATTAGAGATTTAAGGACAGCATGTTTCCATTGTCACTTTATTCAAACATTTTTGTTTAAACTACAACGGAATCAGCGCATGAGAATAATAATCGCCCCCTCCCTCCCCCCCCCGACTATTAAGCGCTCTGCTTCCAATAAGGGCCGCACCCTTCTCTCAACCGAAATTTTAAATAAGCATCTGGGCGCTTATTTGAAGAAACAAGGAATATGACCTTGAGGAATCGAACACAATGAAGCGGCAAATTCAAATGAAATGGATCTTTGTTTATACTGAACATGAATTAGGCATCGGCCACTAAGACAGTACTCCAATAAAAAAAAAAGAGAGAAAAACGACATCAACAGTAACAATTAAAGCTTTGCTATCGCCCTGGCTGAAGACAATACGATACAGATCATAATATTTACATGACGATCTTTTTTTACCGCAATAATTCTTAGCTATTATAACCGGCATGCAAATGTGTCCCATGTACAGTAAATATTTATTTACAGGCGAAATTGATGGCAGTTTTTCATCTTGAATTTCTTCCGGGAAGAGATTTAAGTTGCCTAGCTAAGCTAAACCCTTCATAAGGAGAAAAGAAGAAAGTCACCCGAACTTGCTTCAGCAATGAGGATGCACCGTTTTGGGAGACTCCACCTGTGTCTCAGAATCAATCAAAACTGCGTCATCTGAGCTATGACATAATGTATTGATTAATATCAATAAGTTATTCCCTAGTTGAAACTTCTTAAGCTCTTTGTACAAATTTGAAGCATATATCTTGAATATGACAACGTTTCATATTTCATTCCCTGAGAAATAATCCATTATCAGTTTTCAAACTTTTTTTTAGAAGCCAAGTTCATCACTTACGCCCCCGTACAGGAGCTGTTTGCGGGATTTGTACGCCGGGATACGGGTTGGGGTAAGGAAAGGGCGGCCGATAGGGACTGACTGGCAAGGGTGGTTGCATCGGATAACCTAGTTGAGGAGGGCTGACTTGTGGATACAATGGTCTTTGTTCTAAAGGTCGAAGCCCTGGAGATGCGGGTTGTAGACCAGCGGGTGGTAGCCGATACTGCGGAGGGGGAACAGGGTATGACTGATAGGCTGGTTGCTGCATATTTGGAATCGGATATCCCGGGTTAATCAGGGGAAGAGGCGATGAACGGGGAATAGTTAAGGCAGGTCTGTAGATTCTTATCTTCCAAGGTGTCTGAGTTGATGGCATGGGAGTGGAATAGTAAGGGTAGGAAGACTGTGGAGGATATCCAAAATAAGGATAGGTTGGCTGTGGTATAGTGACTGGCGGAGGTTTCTCGTGAGACTTTTCTTTGCCGCTCTCAGATTCCTTCTCTGACTCCTTCCCCTTCTCTTTACTTTGTGAACGTGGCTTGGAAGCCGCAACTGTGGGTTGATAGTATTGCTGGAAGGTTGGCTGGTAGAAAGGCATCGGAGGATTTGGCACGGGCTGGTATGGCTGCTGGAAGGGGTACGAGGTGACCACCCCTTGTAGTTGTACCGGTGACTTCCCTTGACCAGCTTGTGGCTTCTGCTTCTCCTTTGTATTTTGGCCCATTTGCAAGAACTGTGGTGGAGGCTGCTGAATCATCTGCTGAGGCTGCGGAAAAACAGGCCAGGGCTGCGGATACGCTGGCCTTGGGATAGC